GGGAGTGGTGACTTTCCACGTATTCCCAACTTCTGAGCCTGCTCGCCTGAAGTTATGGTTGATTGGTCTTCGGCTGGATATCAACACACCCATTAATGTAAACTACGCCAGAGTGTGTACACACCTCACGTACCGGATGCCGTGCGCGCGCCCAAAGACAGTTGGACATAGTGGTGAATTAGAGGTAAAAAAATTATATAAATACTGTTCGGTTTCTGGCACAAACCGATCGTTTCATGTCTTAGGACATCAATGTGTCATCACAAGCCGCAGGGTTTAATTTGGATTTGTCTGTGCATGTTTTTTTTACTCTCATAGATTTGGTTACCATTGCCATGCATTATACGACTGATAGACTGCAACGGCTGGAGTTCAAAAAATCATCATATGTGTTCTACTGAAGAAACAAAGTCACCTACATCTTGGATGCCCTGGGGGTAAGCAGATAAACATCAAATTTTCATTTTTGGGTGAACTATCCCTTTAAGTTGTGCTTTTCTTATTAATGGTGAAAACAGGAGAAATTCACCTTTCCACAAACTATTCCAGCATAACATTAGTTTTGTATAATATCAACCTGTAAGAATGCTAGTGCTAAATAAAGCCAAATAGTGTTCAAATCAAGCATACACTACCATTCAAAAATACAGTAAAAACCGTAATATTATGAAATATTATTAAAATTTTAAATAACCGTTTTCTATTTGAATATATTGTAAGATATATTATTCCTGTGATGCAAAGCTTAATTTTCAGCATCATTACTTCAAGTCTTCAGTGTCACATGATCCTTCAGAAATCATTCTAATGCTGATTTGCTGCTCAAAAACATCTGCCTGTGTAAACGTCTAAGAGACTACTTTCAAAAACATAAAAAAAAAAAAAAAAATTATTCCAAACTATTGACTGGTAGTGTAAACTGTAAGCGAGTTCGACATCACTGTTCATGACAACACAAGCTGGCAATGGAGATATGCAAGCTTTCGTGACTCACCTGCATCATCTAAGCATTGCGGACACTCTCTCCTCCCACATGCTCACTGTCAATGTAGCCAAAAACAGCAAAGACGGCTGAAGCTGCATGCAGAGAGTCATTTGCATAAGGTAAACGCTGACCTGCTAGCATGTTAAACACTCTTCTGAATGACTAGCACGTATAAACAAAACAAAACAAAATGACACTTTGTATATCAGTCAAGGTAGTCTTCATCTAAAACAAGCTGCAATGTGAACTAGGACTAGACCTTTCGCCAAGTCAAAAGTCTGGTTACGCAAGACTATGCAAGCCCTGATGTCAGTACATAAACTCTGTGTTTACAGCGTAGAGATACTGTATACGGTGATATTGATTCAGCAAACGACAAACACATAGTATTCAATTTGCGTGATTCCCTGTTCACCTCGGTGGCGTTCCTCCTCCTCTTTCCGACGATGAACGCTCGCTTTAGCGAGAGCTCTTGAGTGGGATGTGAGGAGATTAGAGCTGATGCACGTAGGTGGTTTATTTACTGTCAATGCAGAGCCTTGCAGAGTTTCGATACTGTGAGAATTTAAAAGCACTTTTATCGCTATCTGTGGCAGTGGGTTGATCTTTTACACGGTTGGGTTTTCGTTCCTGTTCTGGCTGTTGATGAGCTTAGTCATAATGCGTGCATGTGGTCTTTCTCGCTACGACATAGCCTGAGCTAATGGGAGAAACGCATGGGGAACTGTGAAAATGATTCAGATTCAAAATAAACCACTGTGAAGCAGCCAGGAGTCATTTGTATTTTAAAACCAAACTGCTGAGGAACAAATTTATGAACACTAACACCACAGCATGTGCACTGCATATTTGTAGGTGTTTTACAAACTCCTTCAAGGTGTGTAGGGCACTAAAAATCATAACTGTTCATCACACATTTCAGTGGAGCATCTGTGATCCGTCTCAGTCGCCTTATTTTTTACATAATGCAAGTGCTAATTAATATTGAGCTTTGCCACTTGTAGAACCCGTGCAGTAATTACTTTGAATGAGACATTATTGGCAAATTTGATTAATTGATGCAATAACATTCACGATCACATCACAACAACAACAGCTGAATAACTGCTGTTATTCAGACCGAGCAAATGCACAGGTTAACCAATCATCATTTAACATTCATGTTGCTGTAAACTATGATGTAGTTTACTACGATACTAGTTACTAACAAAAACTAGCTAACTAACTATATTTGGTGCAAAGCAAACAATGTGAATTTATTTTTAGAGGTATCGCTGGTAAGGTCATTTTGGTTCTGCAGTAAACATGCATGTTTCATTACTCACTACAAGGCATAGATTTGTCACAGTCTCTGTTTTTTATTCCTCGAAGCAGGCAGGCATTATTTTGATGATGCCGATAATCATTTTTCGTCAGCTCTGGTTAGACGACATCATGCTTATTCTGATACGATAATCTCATTATTCCATCACTGCAGAACGCAGGCCGGTTGCACAGTCACAGATGTGTGTGTGTGTGTGTGTGTGTTAAAGATGATAGAGAGCCCTTACAAAAGTTAAACTATAGTCAACAAGACACCAAAACACCATAGTATTGATAAAAATAAAACAGTGGTATACATAAGTGTTGTCACTGTTAACAAAAAACTACAACTATTACAATTTGAATAAAATTAATTGAAATAAATCTGAAATAAAATATAAACATTAAATGAAAAAGGTACATTTTAAAATCTTAAATGAACATTAGAAATGTTGCCTTGGCAACTAACTGAAATAAAGTTTAAGTACTAAAATTAAAATTAAAATGAAGCTAAACAAAAATATTTAAATGACAAATCATATAACAAAATCAGTATCTTTCTAAATATGCTAACGGTTCATCTCGGCTTCAAAATCAAAGTTTAAACCCTCGCTCTGAGTTTGCATGTTTTGATGTCTACATGTCAGTTTAAAAATGTAAGTGATTTTAAGCTATTCAAGCACAAGACGGCACGAAAGAGCTCTCAATGCGATACTCGCGCGCTGTCATAGATTGTCTCTGTGCGCACATGCACCTGAAGCGTGCACACACAAAAAGCCTTCTCTCAGACATCAAGCAAATACCAAACTGAGTTCTTTTTCACGTCTTGATCAAATTCGTACAAAATTATGTCTGAATGGCTGTCTTGATGAGTATCGACGTAAAAACAGTTGGTTACATCTTAAGTGAACTTAAATAAGAAAATATCGGATGTGCATAATATAATGGACCAGTGCATTTCTTATGTTAATAATGTTAATCAAACAATAAAAAAGAGAGAATCACTCGCTGCTCTTAATTAACTTCTGTAGCTTTAATGGATATTTGTGTATATTTACTTCAATTAATTTAGGTAATTTGTATCTTTGTATTTAGTGTTATGTCTGAGGGCTCAGCCAGCCCCCCTGTGGATGAAGTCTTAGAACCGCCCCTGTATAGCAATTCATAGGTTTCATGTGACGTCACACAGTGGTGCGGCTGCCAATTGTAGGACCGAATTGCAATTCCATCAATCTGCTGTGCTGTGCTCTGGGCTGTGATAACAGCAAATCACAATAGATTATTTACCAAGAGATGTGGATGTATGGGATTCTTTTGATTAAATATTTCTCGTAAGCATAGATGAGTTTTTATATTTTAGTTAGCAAGTTCATAATGAAACTTGCGAAAGGTTACATTTGCGTGCGAGACTGATGATTTGCCAGAAAACTTTCGTTATGCTCCACCTAAAGCTAATAAATCAACGAGATGCAGATCTGTTGATACAGTTATGTGAGTCTAGAATGTTTACGCTGCACTAAACTTTGACAAACAAACAGATGAAAAAAAAGGAAGCGCATACAAGGAGAAAGGTTTGTAGTTTTAGTTTCCACATTCTTATTTTTATGAATGTAACTGAATGTAATTACTTCAAGGATGTTAGTGTGAAGAGGATTTGTTTGTACTATTAGATTTATAATTCTATAGAAGAACGTTCTTTTCAAATAATCTGTTAAATAAATAGCCTATATAAGCTAGTTGCAGTGATTTTTACAATGACAATGTACTGCAATCAAATTGAAATGCATCAATATGTCTGAGATCATTTGAAGTAGCTGTGTCCTGCTTTTACAGTTGCTAGAATTAAATGGGTAAATAATAATAAGTAAATAGTCTTTCAAACAACATGTGCTTTCATACAATATATATATATACATTTACTTTCATTCAGTTTGGTGCATTCAGTTAGTCCTTTAGTAATAGATACGTGTGCATTATTTGCTCTTTACAGGTGCAGAAATGAAAGCTCCCAAGCAAAGTACTCACTGGACTAAAGGAAGTAAATGATTTTCATTTTTGGGTAAACTATCTCTTTAATTAGGATGATACACACTTTAAATTTTAATCATACTGGACACAGCCACTTAATGTGCTAGAATTAAATGGGTAAATAATAATAAGTAAATAGTCTTTCAAACAACATGTGCTTTCATACAATATATATATATACATTTACTTTCATTCAGTTTGGTGCATTCAGTTAGTCCTTTAGTAATAGATACGTGTGCATTATTTGCTCTTTACAGGTGCAGAAATGAAAGCTCCCAAGCAAAGTACTCACTGGACTAAGATGTGGAAAGACATGCTGCACAATGACCCACAATGAGCAACAACCAAGAACAGTATTCACTGATTACCTTTAAAAATCAATCATAGTTAGGTAATGATTATTTAAATTATTTTACCAAGTACAAAATGTTTAATTCAAAAACTTTGCCATTTACCAATGTGTTTTAACCTTTATTTATTAAATGTTACAGTCTAAGTGTACATATAAATGCCTCATTCATTCAAGTAAATGCATGGGTAATTTTGCAAAATGTGTTAAATATTTTATCTACACTTATTGTATAACTGCTGTTTTTTGCTGTAATTGCATGGTTTTGTAAACAAATTATTTTGTAAATAAATTTTCCTCATGCCAGCTTGGTCAAGCTAGTTATTTAATGGACTTTAAAATTGCTTTCATAATAATGAGATGTTTATAGATTTGTTAAGTCATGTTATTTATTTATTATAATCTATATTATAATCTGTTTTGTCTAGGTAACGTTATTAATTGTAAATGAAATATTAATGAACAGTACAGTAGATATAGAAATGCAAACTGTGCTAAGTCTGGCGTGCTGCGCAGCTTATCAGCAAATGTCAAGTTGTTAAGTTTTAGACTTTAGTGGAGTCAGCAGTTCGCTTGACAGTAAATAAGGATCTAATCCTAAAGTATCCATTTTTTTAAATACCATTGTTTTCCGTTGTTGGTGTTATTTTGGTTTCCGATTACCAAGGAGAGGCTACGCAAGGTCCTAAAGATGGCGGCCGCAACAAAAAAGTAACGTGACTGAAACCCATGATTATGACCCAGCACACAAAATACTAACAAAACACTCCAATGCAACTATTGACTCATTTTGTCTCCTTTTAGGAGAAATATCTGAGACAAAGTTAATAGTTAGCTACACAAAACATACAGTACAACTTAACTACGGCATTAAAACAATAAAAAAAAGAGTAACACCTGAGCAATAAAGTAATCCTCTGAGATGCCTCTGGCATCTACACCAGGTCCACCATTTTGTTCATAAGTAGAACGATGCTGCATGAACAAACACACACACACACAAAACTATGCTTATACACGCTCTCGCACACACACGGAAAGTCTATCCCACACACACATACACAAATGCATGATTGCATCTGGAAACAAACACACTCTGGCACACGCATGAATGAATTTGTGCATAAACACACACTCGCTTTCTCACACGTACACACACAAATGTCATCCTGCCATGTGATTTAATGAACTCAGTCACCCTTTTAGATGTAGTCTCTCAGAGGACTGAAGCGTCTAATTTCTCATCAGATTCCCACTGTTTGTACGCACCTGCTGTGCCTTTTAGAGAATCATATCTGATGTCCCACACACTGCTGTCAGTCCTATAGCGTTTGTGCATTGTAAAAGCAGTTAAAAGTCAGCAGGCTCTTCTTTGCGTGTGTGTGTGCGGTTGTTTTTGTGTTTGTTGCAGCCATGTAGAGTGATTCCCTCTTGATAATAAATGTGCGGTGTAGATGTCTTGAGTGTTTGCACTTGAAGCAAGCAAGAAAAATTCTTATAGTCTAAAAAAACAACTAAATGGCGCCCAAACAAATGCAGTGCAAATTGGTTTCAATACATTTAAAATCAATTCTGTTTCAGTTGAGTTTTATTCCATTCCAACAGTCTCATAATCAAGCAGCCAAATGTGCCACTCAAACAATTTAAACTACATTTATATTGTTTCATTTGCGTTTATGTAGTCCAATTAATTCTAAATCAAGTTATTGTTAATTCTAAATCACAATAAATAACTTTCATAACATTTCCATTTTATTCAATCAGATTCAAATAAAATTAAACTGTTTCAAATCCATTTGATTCAGTTTAGCCCAATTCACTTCATGTCTGTTCAGATATATATATATATATATATATATATAGGGATGGGTCACGATTTTCGAATATTCGATTAGTTGATTTAATTATAGAATATCGAATAG